TCTCGCCCGACCCTAAGGCTGCGGGCTCTGTCTCGCCCGACAGGGACCCATACCGCCGCCAACCACTCTAGGTCCAAGCGTATGAGCCTGGGTCAAAACTCTGACACCAGGGAAGAGACTGGCACGCCTCGATGTAACATGTGGCCATGATGGGCCATACCTGAGGGTTCACATCAAGAACAGTATCGGGCATGCCAGTGCTGTTCTACCTAACCCTCGTATGAACGCTGAAAGGCGCATCAGTTCACCATGACATCCGCTGGGACGGAATGGAACACCATGACCGGCAGATGATGCCTGCGCATGGCACCAATGACAAATAGGGTCACGACGTGGAGCCATCACTGTTGATATCTATAGGATCGGTGGGACCCACATGAAGGAAAAAAGGGCCCCAGCGATCCTGGAAGCCTTCTTCTCTCTCTCGTTCTTCTCCTTTTCCTCTATTGTAACCCGCGCTTTCCCTTCGCCTATAAAAGGGGGAAGCAGGGCACCCTATGAAAGGAGGATCTAGATCCGCACGAGACCAGACCACGAGATAAAAACACAAGAGCATGAGACGAGCACACGGCTGAGTAGTGATCGAGCTCTCAGCACCCATTCACTCCTTTCACTAGAGACTTGGAATCCTTTCCCTCTCTCGCCTGTTTGTAACCCCTACTGCAAACCAAGTGCCGGTAACACGAGCAGCGGCAAACTGGACATAAGGATGTTCTGCCCAAACTAGTATAAACCCTTGTGTCCTCCGAGCACACCATTCGAGCCAAACGCGCAAATACAAATTTACTCGTCGGTGGTCCAAAAACACCGACAAGATAGTTTTTAAATTCCAAAATATTTATTATTTGCTTGCTTTGGTCGTGTTGTCATCAATCACAAAAAAGGGGGAGATTGTAAGGAAAATGGACCCTAGGCCCATTTACTTTGGATTTTGGTGTTTGATGACCAACACAACCAAATTAGACTAATAAATTTACAAGTAATTGTTTTGTAGTTCAATAGGGTGCAAGACGTGACTTGGACGAAGGCGACGTAATGATCTGATGATCAACACCTCAAGCAAGACCCTAGAGCACAATAGAAGACCCAAGAAACCAAGCAAAGTCCAAGCACGGAGATAGGAATCAAGCCGAATGCAAGATCACGAAGAAACGAGCTCAGCAGAGGTGACCGGACGCGGCCCTTATCAGGACCGGACGCGTCCGATCAGTTGCTCGACAATAGCAGGCGTCAGCAGCAGCGACCTAACGCTGAGTGAGGCAGTGATCGGACGCATGGACTTCACTGTTCATTGTCGCGGCAACAACTCAGTGAGGACCAGATGCGGCAGTTGTGGACGACTGGACGCGCCAGGAAGTGGCGTCCGATCGAGTCCAGAGAGGTTCTAGAGCGGCGAAAAGTCAACCGAACGCATCAGATGTTAAGCGCCCGGACTCACCAGAGTCTGATCAATAGTGAGTGCCAACGGTCGGCTTCAATGGTCGGGACGACCGGATACGTCCGATTAGGATGACCTGCACGTCCTGTCAATGGCAGAAAGCTGGGTTTCATCCCCAATGGATACTTTCTCCATTGGACTTATAAATAGACCCCCAACCGGGCATTTGAGGGGTGGAGAGCAGAGGAAACATACCATGGGTGTTGATACACCATTTTTAGTGATCTTCACTTGCATAGTGCTTAGTGATTCATTAGGTGATTAGCGTAGGTACTTTGCAAAGTGCTTTGGTTGATTAGACCACCGCTTATACGCTTGCTCTAGGTTTAGGCCTAGTATTTAGTGAGGTTTGCACACCTCTTATCACTTGGTGCTTGCGCGCACCATTGTTGTACATTGGAGGGGCTTGTAGTCTTATGAGATCACACCAACCGTGTTTGTGGTGTGGCCGCCACCATGTACCGAAGGGAACAAGGCTCGCGGCAGTTCGGCCAGAAGCTTGATAGTGAAGACGGCGGGGAGCGGTCTAGGAGAGGCTTGTCGGAAGGCACATCGGAGACCCACTTACGCATGGAGAAGGCCCGGGACTATCCACGGAGTTACCCGATCGTGAGCTTGGCCCTTGTGAGGGATTCCTTGAGAGGGGCTCCAACGAGGACTAGGGGGGAAGCTTGGACGCTTTTCGATACCTCGGTAAAAATACCAGAGTCGTCGACGGGAGTTTGCATCTCTACCTCATCTTTACCTTTCGTATTTACATTGTTACCTAGGTTGTGTGCTTTACTTTTCTAGCTTAGTTGATAGGCTAGTTGATAGGGTTGGAACTTAGGTTGCAAGACTCTTTTGCGGTAGAGATAGTAACACATTAGCAAAATCATAGTTGCACATTTAGATAGATTACTTTCTTGCATAGTTTTTGTTAGGGTGGAATTAGAGGCCATAGTTTAGAGTAGATTTTTAAGTTGCATAATTCACCCCTCCCTCTTAGGCACCACAGATGCATCATGATGACACACGGTAGTGCCCAATGGTAGGTGGGTTCCATTGCAACATGTGCATCACCAGATCTACTTTTACAACATTCAAATAAACAGACCTGCAACATACATCCGAAACAGCTAAAACACCTAAAACATACGTCTGAAACACTTGAAAAACCATTGCAAGTATATGCAACATTCAGACGAAACACTTGCAACATACGAATGAAACACCTGAAACACTTGAAAACATATGCTTGCAACATGCATGTTATACAACATCCAGATCTACTTCTGCAACATCCAGATGAAACACTTGAAACATACGTTTGAAACACCTGAAACATATGCTTGTAACATGTAACATATGCTTGCAACATGCGATATAGCCATTGCAACATATGCAACATCCAGATGAAACAATTGAAAACATATGTCAAAAACACTTAAAACACGACATCGCTGTGCGGCCACGGCCTAACCGGTGGGGAATTGCGGTAGCCAGCAAATGACGCTTGGGTGCAGTGACGAGGGAGGATGGTGGCAGGCGGGCAGCTGGGTGCGGTGGAGAACGCCGCGCCAGAGTAGTCGCCATGGACCACGCCACATCGGCATGGAGAACTCGGTGGCAGGAGCGGGAGCGCACCAGGTGAGCGGAGACGGTGGTGGCAGGAGCGGGAGTGCCACACGCGCACGACGCGGCCGCAGGTCCACGAGCCTTGGCACAAACCGTGTGGTGGCCGAACCGGCCAGCATGGAAGCCATCGCCGGTGACGAGCTCGGTCGAGGTGCATCGAGTGGAGCTCCGGTGCGTACGACCATGGGTGGGGTGGAACGGAGCTCACTCAACCACACCAGCTGCGGATAGCAGCCACAGCTCGCCGCGTCGAAAACCAAGAAACCGCTCAGCAGTGGCGAACGACGGTGTGCATGCCTTGGCCACCCGCGACGCTATACAACGACGGTGGGTGGTGGTGGAAAAGTAAGATAAGAGGATAAGGTAGGAAATAAATAATAAAGTAAGCCTGAGGACGGAGGCATCCAAGCTTGTGAGAGCCTTGCTTATGGGTCCGCTGAGCTCCGAACGCATGGACACAAGCATTACCACTTATTTTTCTTTAGTCGAACAACATTTTAGCTTCCACCCCAGTTTAAATATGTTTTCGACTACTAATGTGAATGAAGATGCATTAGGGCAGTGTCAACTGTCAACAGAGTACTAGAGGTGGTTTCCATAAAATTAAATGAACCTGCCACATAAGAAAAAAAATTGAGGTGCAATCAAGCTGTAAAGAGAGAGAAGAAAATGAGAAACAAAATCAGTTCGTAGTCCAATACCCCAAGAAACCGCTTCTTCCAATATTTTGGGTGACCCACGATGATGATAGGACTACTCGCGCCTGCGCTCGCCGGTCCAACCTAGCGCTCACGCGGCCTTCTAGCACACACGTGCAAGTTCACCTATACACAGGTTTGTTTAGGACTGCTGGCCTGCTGCACTCTATCAAACTAGCTCTGCTCCGCTAATCCATCAACGAGCAGCTCAAAAAAAAACTGAATTTTTTTTAGTATCCTTTTAAGTTATACACAAAAAGCCTGGAGTTACTTTTTTTTAGAGCAGTTCGTGGAGTTATCACTATGTTTAGCTAGCGAAATTGGAAGTGGAGCTTAAAAAAGATAGGGCAGAACAGTCTCGGATGTCTAGTAGTACATTTTGCACAAGGGTACATACGTAAATCAGACATTCAGGAGATTCAAACACCATGGGGCTTGTTTGGCGGGTCGTTAAGTCGGCCGGTTTCGACTGATTCAATAGTATTCTGCGAGGGAGAATAAGCTGGAAAAAGTTGACTTGGCTGAAAAATAGTTCAAGCGAATGTCGCACGATGATTGGATTATACATATCAGAAGTGGATTAGCTTCCGTCGCCAATTGCCAACGAATGTCGCCAATGGCCAAAAAGATTCGGGCGTCCAGGGCGCGTCACTCTTCTTTTCAGTTGCACGCGCTCGCCGCTCGCATGGCCTATGCTCGCCGTGCTCGGCCACGCTCACACCGTCCAGCATCGCGCCCGCCATGTCCGGCAGCGCGCACTGCACACATGTGACAAGCCGCGTGCACCGGCCCGCTCGTGCTCACCCGCCGTTGGCCCCAGAAGCAGAAAGGAGACCAGGACGGAGGAGAGAGAACAAGATGCGAAAAATGACGGGTGGGGAGGAAACGTATGGGCGGAGTGGTCCACATGAACGCACTATGCAATGTAGAATTCATCACTTAGGGTCCACACGAAGACACTGTGCATCGTAGGTTAGAGTTTTTGTGGCAGCTATCGAAACCAAGGGGATGGTTCAACTGCCCTTATGGCATGGACCATGGAGTATCTAATTGGTGGAGACATATGGTCTAGCAGAAACATTGGCTCAACACTCAACACCAATATAAGTTTCTCACAACTGCGAAACTAGAGGCAGCGCTCAAACCTTCAACCAGTCTTACGTACAAGCTGGTAACCAAGCGACCGACTTGATCCTCCGCGAAAACAGCTATCAAGTGCACAAAATCCTCTGCTCCAAGTCCAAGCTTCATCCTCTTGCTGCGGCCTTTAGTTTCTTGAGCAGAGCCTTGGCAGCGAGAACTTCCGCCACCTCCTGGTTGCGGCCTTTTCCAGTCTCAGAGTACTCTGTCCCCTTAGCCTTCACCTTTGCAACCACCCTTGTCACTCCAGCTGCATCGTCACGAGTTGGAGAGTACGATGGCTTAGGGTAACTTTTGCGCTCGCATAATTCCTTCAGTTCCGACACTGGGTCAGGCTCCATGGTCTTGGGGGTGGCAAGAGGTTCCAGTAGCCGTCTCATGGCTCTCCAGACAACCTCCTTGTCATTCCTGCTGTCGACGTAAATTGCACCAGCTATTGCTTCAAACAAATCTGCGAGATCCTGCGTTTTATTTTCCAACAAGCAACAGACACATGTTACCCACGAAAATGGAAAAAAATATAGAAAGAGTTGTAAACAGAATATAGCACCTATCGAGAAATCTCAAAGGTTTCAGTTAAAAACAAACAAAGGTGGAAACCAGGTGCAACCACATGGTTAATCCATATTTCACGTTGCCAGTTCAAATGTTAAACCAGATTCATCCTAAGCCTACAGAACCATCTACCCCGTAACGGGCAGAGTGGCAGTTGTCTGCCATGAGACATGATAATACTGCGAGAGAATAAAGACTAATGAAAGCTGAACAGAACTGCTAGCCATTTTCAGCCATACAGCTATAGCTAATAACTAATTTATCCAAGAAGCATGAAACAGAAACCATATAAAATACGGTAAGTTTACATGTTCAACGCAAACAAAAAAGGGCACGTGTTTTCATGGGCCTAGAAATGCATGAAACATCACTCTGTTCGCTGATGCTGAAATTTGGCTTATGCTGAAATGTTGTGAGGAGAAAATACTGTTCCATGGCTGAAAAGTAGTTCTGAATAAGCTCTATGTTTTTAAAGAAACCTAGAAAAATTGAACATTCAAAAAGACACACCTCAGGTAGACCAATGCCAGGTTCCCAACCATGCGATGGGCCTGAAAATGACCGTCCTGAATTCTCAAGATCGTTAATCATCTGTTTTGATGAGGAATGAAGAATATGCTTGTGTAACCCTGCTTTAACAGCTGCATGTGCATAGCAACAGTTGTTCACAGAAGCTTTTCGTAGATTTGTCAACAGTGCTGGTGTACAATTGGAGTAGTATTTTCTGTAAAAGTGATCAGTTAAGATGTAGTCCAATACAGCATCTCCGAGAAATTCAAGCCTCTGCACACGGGCACGGACTTGTTAAGTTTACCCATAAAAAGCCATCTGGGGTAAAATATCATTTGTGTTAAAAGAAGTTAATAAAAGGGTTAATACAATTAATAAATTATAATTTCATGCATTTCCTTGTACTTCTCTGATTCTCTCCTATTGGTAGATTTTTAGACTCCGTTGCTGTTGGTATTATTTAGCCACCTTTAGTAATTCTGAACGGACAATTTTGTCTATGTTCTTGCATGTCAAGGGTGCATCAAAGAACTGCAAAACATTATTTTTCCCCTCAAACACGCAGGAGAATAATTTTTCATTGTATTAAAAGTTAGTATTCCATTCCATGGCTTGGGTTAGTCTTTATGTTACATATTCACGCCCTTTGGATTAACTGGAAAACTACTGAACTACCATCTCAATGCTGCAGATTACTCAACTGCAAAAACATTGTTAACTCTGAAAAAGAATTGTTTGCAATTAAATACGAAAAAAAATATAAACGATTGCTACTGAAGATCAAAGTGCATTAAGTCATCGAGATTAACCTCATTGCAAGCTGTAATACCAGCAATATTGTAGGAACTATGTGTCAATGCTTCTATTAACAGTGAACTGTCATCGAACACATAACCGAGGATTGTCTGCAAGCTTTTCACGTCAATGAATTCTTCAGATTTTGTTGTAATAATCCTTTCAACTTGCATTTTACTATGCAGTTCTACATCCATTCCTAGTGATTTGATGAAATGAACTGCTGCCAGTTCACCACAAGCACTGAGGTAGGCCGCAGTCAAGGCTTCAACTGTATCAGCAATTCTCTTGCTTTTTATGGAAACTTCCTTCAGACTGTACATATTATTGGTTGTTCCGAAGAAAACTTCGTTGTTACCATGTGTGTCATAGCCGAGCCCTGGAATGGTCCATTTTTTTGGGTTAAACAATTCACCTCGAATGTATCCCTGCCAAACAAGAAAAAAAATTGTGGATAACAGTATTATCAAAAAGCACCTTTAAAACTTGTAACAAAGTAATGGACAGAAAACGAAATCTACATCTCCAGTAGGACTTCCATGAAAATATTGCTCGCAACATGATCTTAGCTGTGTTAGAGTACGTCAGGGGCATGTATAGCCCATTAGTGTTAGGGTTAATTAGAGATAAGGGTCGCTTACTTAAGGGTCAAGTAAGCCTTGCTTGGGAGTTAAGTAAACCTCTCTGTATAAGGAGAGGAGATGTATCGATCTAATCAGGCAAGAATTAAGAAGGAAAACCCTTCCCTCTTGCCCGGCCGTGGGCAAACGCCCCGCGGCTGGCTCTCTCTCACCCTCGCAGCCCTAGCCGTGAACAGTACCCGCGGTACTGTAGCACCGCGGGTATTGTAGCGCGCCAGCCGCCGTCGCTCCCCTCGACTCTCTCCTCTCAATCCTAGCAGCCATAACAGCTGGCATGCCTGTTTGCAGCACAACAATTTTGTAGAAAGCATAACAGTTCCTGCAACATTTTTTCCATGAAAAGACTGCTCTAAACAAGGTCATTTGAACCACGGTGCGAACATTCATCACTAGTAATATGACTTTAAGTGAACAAAATTATTTTCTTTTTGAATTAAAGGAAAAGGTCCAAATTACTCCCCTCAAGTTTGGCCTATGTCCAAATAAACCTAAAAACATTTGGTTCGATTTACTCCCCCAACAATTTCAGTTGGTCCAATTTACCCCATACAAAGATTTTTTTTTTGTTTCTCTGTGTACAAGTTGAGTTTTAATTTCAAATTTTGTGAGGTGACAGATGACATAATAATTTATGTTAAAAATACATAAAAAATTCATCATCATTTGATTGGTCGTAATAAATTAGCACTAGAGATATAAAATTGTATGAAACATAACGATGAAATATTCATCATATATATTTGGTAACATAAAATATGATGTTCACTATTATCTCACAAAATTTGAATTAAAACTTAACTTGCACATGGAGACACAAAAAAGATAGATCTTGTTAAGGGTAAACTAGACCAACTGAAGTAGATGGGGGAGTAAATCGAACAAAACGTTAGTTTAGGGGTTATCTGGACATAGGCCAAACTTGGGGGGAGTAATTTGGACTTTTTTGTTGATTAAATAAAGCAACAAGCCAGGTTCCAAGCTCAGGACTCCTTGGCAACGATAAGTGTTGAGTTTCAATCACAAACTACTTTATTCAGAAAGTTTAACCAACTATTACACTTCAGTACTAAGTTGAAAAAAATGCATGCAAAGCAGATTAGAAGATCTTCAGTACCACAAGTTTGCTTTTGCAAGCTAGCTGACATAGAGCTGCGTTGGAGACCTTTTCTTCCCTCATAGAGGTTAGTTTGTCCTCTCGATGTTTGTATTTGCTAAAAAGATTTTGGCTTGTAACATATTTAATGAAAGAATCCCCAAGTGTTTCTAATGATTCCAGTGAAATAGTCTCCTGGCATTCCTTTGTTGTAAGTGCTTCCAGAATCTGCACATGATACAGCTTGCTAACTTCAAATTCATAGGAAACGAAATAGTTAAGCATTAACCAATGTTGCTATTAGTTTAGAAATTAAGCATAATACAAGCAAGCCATCTGTTCTTTTTTTAAAAAGAAAACTGCTGTTCAGTAGCATGTAATGCATTGACATTGCCAATTGGCAAGCCTTCTTTATTCTCAACACCTCGACAAAATAAGAGCAACTGAAATTCTTTTGTAGCTTAAAAGCTCATCCAGTTAACCTTAGTATCTAGTTGCCTACCACAGCTATTAGTGGAGTAAATAACTGCTGAGAAAAAAAGAACCTTCATAGCTGTTATGTTGAACTGTTGCATTCTTGGGCCCAACTGGATTTTCAACTTTGCAGAAAGAAGCAGACACTGGATACGGTACATTATGGAAGGAATAAATGAGAAGCTGAGCAAAGTATTTGTCGACACTGGTGCCATGACTACTCTGCAGAGTCCAGGTGGCAACTTAACACTCCCACGTTCTGAAGAAAGGAAAAGGATAAGTTAACATCATACATAGCCTATTAACAGCAGTAGGGTCACAGGTTACAACTAACTTCTAACCTCATTCTCTGTCTTCTGAGAGTGGAAAGTTACATGTGCATACCTTTTCTTTTGCATCGAATTTACTTACTAAATTACTCCCTCCATTTCAATATAAGGTGCGGTTTGACTAGGCGTGGTCTCCAAAGTTATACTTTGACCCATATTTTATCTTATAAGATAGTGCTTTCAAATACTAATCCAATGATATCACTCTTGTAAGGCTAATTGTTGGTTGTATATACTGTTAGACAGTGTTTTTAAGGCGTCGCTTAGGCGTCGCTTAAGCGCCAAGGCGCTGCACGCACGACGCCTTAGCAGACGACTCGCCTTAGATTCGTGTGGCGTCCGCCTTACAGCCGAGGCGTCCAAAAAACGTCGCTTTGGCGTCCAAATTGCGCATGGCAGGCGCCATACGAGGAAGCCTCTGCTCTGGACAGTGGGAAAACACAGGAGAATCGGCGCGAAAAAAGGAAAGAGAGAGCGCGAGTGCACGGAAGAAATAGGCGCACGCAGAGAGAGAGCTGGCGCGCGGGAGAAACAGAGCGCAGAGAGAGCAGGCGCGCGGGGAGCCCTAGTGAGCGGGTGAGGAAGAGGAGGCCGCAGCTCACCCGCGCCGCCGCATTCATCCTCGCTGCTGGTGCCGGGGGAAGTTGCCGCTCGGCCGTCCGCAGCCGAGCCATACAGCCGTGCCCTCTTCCATCTCAGGAAGCCATGCAGCTGCGCCCGCATCTGGAAGAGAGGGAGGGAAGAGACAGAGAGAGGGGCAGAGGCCGGAGGCGGAAGTCAGGAGAGTTGTGGCGGCGCTGGAGTCTGGAGAGGATTGGGGATTTGGGAGCAGAGAGATGAAGACATGCTTGGTGGGTGAGGGGCACATGGGCTGCCTGATGGACTGGGCCAGACCTATTCTTACTCCTCCTCCTTTCTTTTTCCTTTTTCCTTTTTTTTTCTCTTCACCATCTACTGCTCTGAGCTGCTGTTTTAAATTTTTCTTAAGCTGTTAAGGCGTCGCCTCGCCTTACGCCTTACTCGCTTAAGCGTAAGGCGGTAGTCAGTCGCCACGCCTCGCCTTACCGCCTTGAAAACATTGCTGTTAGAACAAGATATATGCTAACATGATATCATTTGTAGAGGAAGTTTTGCACTATCAAGAGGCAAAAATATCGTGTGTAATAACGAATTTATATATGCTGTTAGAACAAGATACCAAGAGGCAAAACATTGGTACTGTTAACAGAAAACAACCTTTCCTTTTTTCGTAGCATTTGTAGAGGAAGTTTTGCACTGTGAATAATCCATTGGCAACCAACAGTAGCTTGCTTTCAGAGGTAAAATGTGGGCCATATCCAGAGCATACAAAAAGAATACCAATTTTTGGATGTAAATTCTACCAATTACAGGAGCACATAACAAATATAAGGACAAATATAAATCTAATCTTAATACCTTTTGCAGCTAACAGCACTCCTATTGTTCAAATCCAAAGGTTGGTTTACATTTAGGTCAAGGTCTGTAATATTATAAAAGTTTCCAACACGAGGGGCATAGACAACAGAATTCTGAAGTATGCACCTGCAGCAAGGGTCATCCATTGTCTGCAGTATATCAGCATCTTTACAAGAATGGCAATGTCTCAGATTTTTATCAGTCACATCATCATATACTGATGAAGTTGAGAACTCGATACCACACCAATCAATTTCGCCATACACTGTGGGCAGAAGTAGATAGACTACCCCCACATCTTCTTGCAGTTCATGGAAGTATTTTATAGCATCGCTGACTTCTGAATGGTCACTGTTAATGAGCAAAGAAAGAACCGTGGTCTGGAATCTTCTAGCAAAAATTACCTGAAGAAGCAAAAATGCTGTACACAGCATTAATGCAGAAGATCTCTCAGACTTAAAATACTAACATATATTGATAAAAGAAACTAAAAACAGGAACCTGAGATTAAGAAAAAAGATAACATCACTCCATATTTACATTTTCTTGAGTCAGATGGATCTTGTGCAAGTACTTAATGGTAATTTCAATACCACCCGAGGGAAAAGAGTGGAGAAGGAAGTCAGGTCCCAAGTCACATTTGACAGCTAAAATTATGTCGGTTGGATCAGCAGTTGTGTTGGAAGATCCTCGCAACGAGATGTTGTAGCAATAATACAAGCCACGACGAGAAAAAGAAACCCAATTGTCCACTAGCTCCTCTGGAAAATAAACCGGCTGTCCATGTTGATATTTCTCCTCAGCTAAATAAGGAATGACAAGCATCGTTATCACAAATCTAACATTAAGCAGGTGCTTGACACTAAGCAAAATAATGACATCAGTTTCGAACGGGTGAGGTTCCATTTAGTTGAAAGCTTGAACTGCAACAGCAGTCCTTACACGAACTAATTTATAATGGCAATTCCTACAACAGATCACCACAAGTTATAAGTAACTTATGGTGAAACCGAAGTCGTCATGAAATTGTTATCACACTAGAATACAACAGCAGTGGTAATCAGTAATAATCACGACAGGGTTTTTCAAAAAGGAACTACAAATATCCTTATATAAGAAAAGTACAGTAACTATAGATCTCAGTAAGGACTAAGGACATCGTTTTCGTCTAGGGAAGAGTAAACGCTAGCGAACTATACAAACCGAAGCAGAGTGAGGTGGCATCAGTTTCCGTTGATCGTACCGTTGCCTCGCTTGGCTTTGGACGGAGCTTCTCCTCCCCGCGTATCAGTCTCGGCGGCGGCGGAGGGAGAGGCGGAACCATCCATGGTGGTGGTGACTGGTCACTGGTGAGGTTTCGGCGAGCGATTGGGAGGGAGGAAGAGGAAACGATGGAGGGGCGGCGCTTGGGCTGGGGCCGCCCTGTTGCTGTCCCTTGACTTGATACGCGCCCAGTCGCCGACCCGCGCACACCGAGACTTTTGACCGAGGAGCGAGGAGACTTCGGTCGGAAGCAAAGGCCGTCCTCTTTGCTGTGCCTAGTCTTCAATCAAGTCTCGTCTCGTCAGTTGTCAGGCCGCACTTTCGGTGCGCCGTGCGCGCTTTTTCGGCAACGACTTCTCCCGATCTAGCCGTTTGGGCAACAGTCTGACGCCTTAGGCTGTGTCATGCAAAATTTTAGCTATGTCGTATCGAATTTAAGTATCGTTTCCACTGGTCTATAAATCACTTGACTGATTTATACGATTACGATTGATTTGTTAGAAGACAAAAAAATATTATACCATAGCTGTTATAATGGCAGCGAACAGAGCCTTAGATATCAATTAGGAATACTAAATATACTAAATATAGACTAATTATAAAACTAATTATACATATTAAGATTAATTTGCGAGACGAATCTATTAAGTTTAATTAGTCTATTATTTTGACAATGTGGTGCTACATTAAACCATTTGCTAATTATGGATTAATTAAGGCTTAATAGATTTGTCTCGCTAATTAGTCTACTCCTATACAATTAGTTTAATAATTATCTCATGTTTAGTTCTTCTAGTTAGTATCCAAACGTCCGATATGACACGACTAAACTTTAACCTCTGGATCCAAAACACAACCTTAGTATAGGATTCCTTCCCTTCCAGAAGCCGTTTCGGCATTCCACTACTCCACTATCAATGGGCACTTCTATAATAAATTTTCTCTCCATTAAAAAATGCAAATAATTTTAAATTCAACTAAATTTGTAAAAAATACTAACTTTCATGATATCAAATAAATATATTACATTATTCGTAAAATAGTATAGCTATTTAGAGATATAAAAATTTTTGTCCGAAGGGAATGAATTATGTTATTAATTTGATAAACACTGCACGATGGCCTCTTTGCCTGTTTGAACTGTTCTGCTCTATTTTTTGTCTGTTTGGATTGGAACATGTCTGTGTATTATAATAGAATATGCAACTTATTTTTATGCGAATATTTAGATGATTTGTGGCTCTTGAGATTTATTTAATGATCGTGTCATCTGTTCTAATACATCTTAAAATTGGACTCTATTTGTGAATCCAGATCTCGAACGAGATATGTGTGATGTCAGTGTATTGTGAGAGTAAAAAAAGGCAGTTGGAAGAATTCACTTTGATTTTATAACTAGAAGGATTCCTTGCGCGTTGCCGCAGGTATCCAGTAGAATTTTGATTCCACAGAGAACAAATTTATTTAGATTAGGACCGGCAGATGTGCTATATGTTGCTTCAAATCATTTTAAGTATAGAATACTACATAGTTGCACGATAATGCCCAAAATATCAGCCTATGTAGTCTCTGTTCCTTTGAATGGTTAATTGAATTAATTGTAAGCCATATTTGGAGATGCCTAAAGACGAGTAGTTCTGTGTTTGTCTTATGAGTCGTACTGTTTCAGCGAACGAATATTGTTTTTTTCTCACACCAAATCAGCGAATAATATTTTTAGCCATGACTTTTTCAGCAAAGTCAACAGAGCCGTATATCATCGGGAACGGCTAGAAGCCAACATATGCATCGACATATGGGTTTTGTCGAATTCAGCGTATACTTGTAGCCTTCTAGGAAATGTGAAATCAGCTTCCTGACATGATTGATCTTTACCAGGGCTATGCCATCACAGAGAAATATACAAAAATGACTAATATAAGATATCAAAAGTTTTATTTAACATATTGTAGATGAGATAAAAAGGAGGAATTGTCACTAATTGTCAGATGCAATACGCCCAAGGGAACACACACAGCAAGAGCAGAAGGTTTCCAAGGCAAAGCCGGGGAGCAGAGGGCGCACATGCGAGGGCGCGGTTCACCGGTGGCTCGCATGCGGCGCTGGGTCAATGCCAGCAGCTCCTGGGCATCCTGCGCGCCTGGTCAGGTTCACCTGGGCTGCAGGGCAAGGTGCTGCGGGCTGCGGCCGCCAGCACGACGACACGCCGCTGCCATGCCGCAATAAACTTGCAAGGAAGCAATAGCCAATCCACACAAATTAAAGGCCAGCTACGAACTCCACTCAAATCTGAGAAAAATACGATCAGGGCCATAATTCTTCATGAATAGCATAGTAGATTTAGAAGAGGAGCTACCTTCTGTAGTTCTGTACGAAATCATCAATCTTCAATCCACCTAGAGGGTAGCGTGGCCGTGAGAACAAAGGATGATGAGCCCTCTAAATAGAAGATAGGCAACGTAATAAGAGAAGTATGAATAATGGTAGAAGGGGAAGTGAAGAGATCTTGGAAGAGGAAGAGGCTGATAGGCGTCAGTAAGTGCCCCATAATTAGTCTGGAAACTGCTATCCACTCAGTAACCTATATAACTGCACAAATGAATGGATGGAAAAAATAGCAAAGATTAATCTGGAAACTGTTGTCCACTGATGGAGGTGGATGCGTGGGGCAGGAGTGAACGATGACGTGAAGAACCGTGGAATGAGATAAATTGGTTAGTGGGGTTTTGCTTTATAAAAGTATAGAATATACAATGACCTTGTTCATTTTGGATTTGTTGTCAGAAAAAAAAACTGTTCGTTTGCTGAAAAGTACTGCTGAAAAATAGGAAAAGAGATAAAAAAAAGTTATTGGACTATTCACCTATGGGCCTGGTGGAACATATCTCACCTGGCCCGTCCCCACTTCCCCGCAGGCCGCAACCCAAGAAGGCGCCAGGTACCCTGTCGCAGCAGTTCGCACTCCGCACGGCACCGCACCACCGTCCACCGTCCACCGTCCACCGCCACCCATCGGTAGCAACGCGCGCAACAGCGTCCTGGTACGGCAGCAGCCGGAGAGAGAGAGAGAGGAATGGGCGACCACGAGGGTCGCGGGGACGATTTCGAGAAGAAGGCCGATCAGAAGCTCTCCGGATGGGGCCTCTTCGGCAACAAGTACGAGGAAGCCGCCGACCTCCTCGACAGGGCCGGCAACTTCTTCAAACTCGCGAAGAACTGTGAGCCCCCTGTTCCCTTTTTTGCATCGTTTGGCAATCTCGCATCCGTGTGCTGGTGTTGAGACATCAATGCGCGATCGATCGTATGTAGGTGTCTGATGATGTCGTTTCGCTGGGTATCGCGGTGATACGTACGGAAATGCGATTTCTGATATCTAGGTTTATTGTTTCATATATATAAGTGATTTTGATTGGGGGAGAGGTTACATGATACTCGTGATTTCGACGAAATTTATCGATGCCATTAGGCCGATCTTAATATTGAGCTCCCTGATACTACCATCCATGTGCAGTTTCATCTGTTCCATGGTCTGAAATGCAAAAATTGCGAAGTTACGATTCTCAGATCCGTTTTTTTTATAGGCCGCATAATTTGTCTCTTTCAATATTGAATTGTGTCCCATATCCTACTGTATTGGTTTCACATCCGACTTATCCATTAGGGATCCTGAACTGCTGATATGCATGTTCAGTAGCTACTGTGCCCTGTTGTCCTCTCGAATCCATTTGCTATCCATGAGTGAGAATCTGAAATTGCAGATTTATCTTGTCATACTGGAATTTATCAACTACTCCTTTGCATTTAAGGAAAAGAAAACTTCTTATCCTTGTTAATCATTGTAACTATTTGCTATAGGGAGCAGAGCAGCTACGGTATACAAAAAAAAGATTGCAGATTGTCATTTGCAGGTTTGTTTGGTTATTCTTTTTGTTTTTTTTTTCTGCATACCATTTCATGTGATCATGGAAATTAAATTATGAGACTATGCTGCTGAGGTTTGTTTTATAGGGTGATAGCAAGCACGAGGCTGCTTCTGCTTATGTTGAGGCAGCAAACTGCTACAAAAAGTTCTCACCACAAGGTACTTCTATATACACTTACCAGAGTATGATGAATATCCGCCTTTGTTGTTATTCTTCATTTCATACATTTTCTAGCTAGCCATACAATTCGATACATCCTTCATATTTTCTAGAATATCAATTATTGGAGCTAGTGAAACTCATTCAGTTGTCTAAGTTATGCTGTTTGATTTGTTCCTTCTGGCTAAATATGTCTACCTCTTTCCATAGTTGGCTACCCTTGGGACATCTAGCAGCTAGCATGCAAAATATGGCATGTCCCTTTAACAATAATTGTTTTAATGCAATCAAAGAAACATTAAGGCTATGTATCGCGAGTACTTTCTGCAACTAAACAAATCATTAATCCAACCAGACAAAATGAAGTTTAATTCCCTTGGCATGACTGTTCATGCTACAACTTACTCTACTAACTGTTACATATAATGTTTCATGCAGATGCTGCACAAGCACTTAACAATGCCGTTAATCTTTTCCTGGAAATTGGTAGACTGAACATGGCTGCAAGATACAGCAAGGTCATATACATTATTAATGATGATTTAATGTTATATGACCACATTGATGCCTATATTTTATTTTCTTATTTTCCAGTTCTTGTACTATAAAGGATTAATCTACATATCTATTTTACTGACCAATCACTTCTGTTTTTGAAAAAAGTACTGACCAATACACTTGGATTATGTGTTCTTTCACAAGAACAGAAGAATTATATGTTATTATTATCTGGAAGCACCAAAGTGATGGCCTTGAATTTGGACATTTCAGGATATCGGTGAAATCTATCAGCAAGAACAAGATTTAGAGAATGCTGCAGTCTACCTGAATCGAGCTGCTGATCTTTTTGATAGTGAGGGACAATCCTCTCAGGCAAACAGCATGACACAGAAAATTGCAGAAATATATGCTCAGCTGGAAAAGTAAGCTTTTACTTTAGCTTTATGCAACAATGCTTTATTCTGAATGACTAAAAAATTACCAATAAAACACAATTTGGTGCTGACATAAATGCAAATTTTCACTGGCATTATAAAATGAAAGTTTGCTCAATACATGCTTTCTGATTTCTGGTTTCATAACTTGTTAAATCTTACTGTACATTAAAGAAATAATGAACTTCTGTGTGCTCGCAGCTATCTTCTAACTCTCACATGGTGCAATTCCTATAGAAAAATAAGGCCATTTAACAGAAAATGCATAGTTAAAATTTGTTTCCAACAGCGAATTTTGAACACTGAACTGCTTTGTAGACCCCTGCTCCCTCTTCACTGAATATGCAATATATTTTGCACTAAAAATGAAAATGGCTTCAATATCACGACAAATGATGGAATACCATCAAGGCTACCCCGTGGCATCAACTGAGGCATTTTAGGCTGTTCACAAAGAGTTAGCATTCTATTAATAGTTGTTTTCTGGTTTTTAGTGTTTTGCTTCTCCCTGTTGGATACTAAACATCGTTTGCATCCTACCTAAAGGGCACTTTTGTTTTTGATTAATGGTGCCTCCCAACCCAAACCCACCCCACCTCTTTCTGAGCAAGCTTGGGGCTGGAGTTCTTTTGGGCCTTTGCCCAGCCTGTACCTAGAACTCTTTCCTTCTTAATTGGAAGCAGAGCTCCTGCCATTTGCGTTAAAAAAAAAATCAAAACATGAGACTGAACATCATCTATATGGATAGTTGAGTTGGACTTGGTTTTGTTCTTTCTTATAAAGTTGCTGGCCCATTTCTAATTTCCCTTCTTGAAATGATTTGTATGCTGTAAATCGGCTGGGGATATTATTTGATTTGAAATGGGTAGGTTAATGTAGCCAGCTTGAACTGACCACTTTTTTGGTCTAGGTGTTAGATTATCACTTACCTGTCTCTTTTGAACTATTTATTCACTTGTTCTGATGATTTATTTTGCTTTCTTAGCTTGTTAGATGTTTTACCTTGCTTTCTTACCTTGTTAGATAATTTTATCTTGCTTTCTTATAGCTTGTAAGATAATTTGCATGACTGCGGCCTCGTGCACAATTTATCACACACACTGCCATTATGTTCAGGTACCAGAAAGCAACCGAGCTCTTCGAAGAAATTGCTCGTAAATCAATAAACAATAACCTTCTCAAGTACGGTATCAGAGGCATTCTACTTAATGCAGGAATTTGCCAACTATGTAGAGGTGATACTGTTGCTATAAATAATTCATTGGAGCGCTATCAGGTGAAAACTGTTCCATTGAACTGTCAGCTGGTTGCTATTGTCAACTTTCTCAATGTTACTCCTTTTGGCAGGACATTGACCCAACCTTCTCTGGGACACGCGAATACAAGCTTTTGGCGGTACCATGCAATACTCGCATTCCTTTTGTTCACTGTGTTCCTCTTGAATCTTGATGCATAGCCCTTGGTTATACATTTCAAGTTTTTTTTTAAGAAAAATGGCAGGAGCTCTGCCTTGCATTATACTCCCTCCATTCCAAATTATAAGACATTTTGGCTTTTCTAGATACATTGCTTTAACTATGTATCTAGACATAATGTATATCTAAGTGCATAACAAAAGCTATATATCTAGAAAATCCAAAACGTCTTATCATTTGGAATGGAGGGAAGTAATAGAGAGAAGAACATAAAGTTAATCCTCGAAGGCCAACGAGAAATACCCTAACACAGATTACAAACATCCATTGCCAAAAGGACTAAACTGGCCTCATTACAAGTTTCCAAAAGCTATACATTGCTAGCTTGAATTTCACAGTTTTTTTAACACTATAGCACAGTTCAATTATTGAACATCAACTATCTAAAATGAAACCCAAAAAAGGCTGTCAGTCCTAGATGTTCACTCACAAGTGTATACATTTTGTTTTCTTGGGTGACTTGGCTGAACTGAAATTTGCATGGCAGGACCTTGCAGCCTCTATGGATGAAGGAGACGTTGGCAAGTTTACTGATGCTGTAAAGGAGTTTGACAGCATGACACGCCTGGTACAATCAATTGGAAACTTCTCTGTGTTTTTCCTTCTTTATTTGGGAGATGCCTCGTCTAGGGTAGTGTATATCTGAGATGAAGTATTGCATCTTAACTTCAGAAACATAAACAGTAGGTTAGTTCCCCTTTACACGAGGTGTCTTGTGTGTTTTTGTTTCAGGATCCTTGGAAAACAACTCTCCTTCTAAAGGCGAAGAACGAGTTGAAGAAAAAGGATGACGATGAAGATGATCTAACCTAGGCTTTGTTCTACAAAAGGTTCCATTATTTCATTGAGGATGCCGTGAAGTATTTACACAAGTCTGGATATACAAAACATCCTGGATAAATGCTTTCACTATGGACACCTGTTTGGACTTTGGAGTACTCTGTTTACCGCTTAATTCACGGCCGCATTTGGAATCCAGTAGCTGCTATTTGTGTCATCCTATATGTTGCATTTCTTCCATTACTGTTCATGATTATATATGCTGCGCATATTACTCCAGGCTTTATAGTATAAATAGGTTTAAATAATAGGGAGTAGTGTGGATTTTGTTTTAGATGTGTTTGAGAGTATGTAATCAGAGAGAAAGAAATGATTGAACTACATTGCTTTCATTGATTGATGTATGGTATTTATACATGCTGAGCTGTCGCCAAGCATACCATGGAAGTTTCAATGATTGCACGCGGGTTTGAGCTAACAAGTTGAACTAACTTTGCCTGTCAGGTTATGTACTGACACAACACAACAGCTCGTTAACGAAGCCTTCCCTTTGGAAGGCTGCTGATTTTGGTGCTTCAAATAACCTTTCTAAGACTTGTGAAACACAGTTCGTTTACTTTGATGGATGCTTACATTTTCTTATGGTTCTGTTCGTTTCGTTGAAAAAATAAGCCGAAACACTGTTCTGGTTGATTTGTTGTGAGAGAAAAACACTGTTCCGTCTAAAAAGAACAAGCTGAGAAGTACGGATTATAAACACAAGCGAACAGTGCCGTACGATCTAAGACGTTATTCTTTTAGTGAGAAGCAATATGCCCGTTGACAGCAAGAGTAACTGGCGGGAGGCCCCGCCTAGGAAGGTGTAGCCAACCTCAGCTAGCCCGGCACAAGTGTTGCTAGCTAGCCATAGTCGGCCAGGTCTGGGCTAGTTCTAGCTAGGTTAGGCGCGACTATTGTCGGCTAGGTGTGGCTGCTATAGCAAGGCAGACACCAGCTATAGGGATACGGGCTATAGTACAAAAGAGGAAGACAACCAAGAAAACTATGAGAAAAATTGTGGAAGAGAAGAAAACCATCATAAGACCCATCGGGAGTCCTCTATATCCACATTCATATGTGTGCGCAGTGCTCAATTAATTTTCCATAGCGTGTAAGAACTAGGAGTAGGTATATGCATTTTTTTTTTGCGATTCGTATATGCAGTTGTTGGAAAGTGTTTATTCCCTTGCATGGCAAAAACCGAGCTTGAGAATGGGTTTAGCAAACTCCTAGATATGCTCTAAATCTATGTTTTCATTGTTTTTATTCTCTGTGCAGGGGAGAATCTGATTTTATTTTTCAGATATAGTTGTGACAGATTCACAAGAGATTTGGCTTAAGAACATTTTGCATTATTGTTGTTGAATTTGAAGAACCAGATGACTGATGATTATCAACTAATTTGTGATAATCTTACAAAGATTAATATATACTTTAGTAAATACAAATTTTCTTTTGTGTTACATTCCCATCACCACGGGCTTGGTTCATAAATTATACAATACAATATAATATGTATGGATACTTGTATCCCAAATACAATTCATAGAAATGGCCTAAGATACCACCTTAACCCTTTTTTGCAAGAAGTCGGCGGCGAAACTCTCCTAGAGCCCAGATGGGAAATAAGTTCCGGTAGTTGGGGTAGTTAAAGAAAAGTGAGGAGTTGAAGTTGCCAACAATTTCCTGAAATTGAAATTCATATTCAAACATTTTTCAGAGTTCAGAGATAGCAACCACAAGATGAACTGAACAAAACGGAACAGGATGGAAGTGGATGTCAGTCCGAATGACACGCACAGTTAATTGCTGATCTCTCTACCTACATTACACTAAAGAACTACCACAAATTTTGGTCTACTTGGAGTTCTCTACTATTTCATCCAAACATGCATGCTAACGCTTATAAAACCAAACCAGGTAGAATAACATTATTACTACCCCCTCCATTTCAAAAAGCAAGGCTTATATTCGTTGACATCTTGTTTCAAAATATATAGCTGATATGTGGCTTAATTAATGAAGTTCTCTCTCTTTAATTATTTCTCCTTGTTAATTGTGCATCTCTCTTCATAAGTATGAGCAAATTAACATGCTTACAAATTTTCTCTATCTTAGTTCCAAGGCATATATATTGACACTAGATATATCATGGCCATTTTTGTTAGCCACTAGGTTTCATAAACATATTAATCCCAGTTTCCAACAAAAATATGGAGGGAGTATTTGTTTACATTTTAGTAGTTTAGTCCCGCTAATTTACTATATATCTACTCACTATGAAATTGCATAATGGCCATATTTCTCCTAACTGGTTGAATAAATCACTCAATTTATATTTAATATATGCATGGAATACTCTATTTTGGTTTATGGAAAAACATTTACTTGCTGGGGAAATTCTCCGTTCTCCATCTGCATGTTGATTAATTCTTTTGCAGCACGGTATAGTGGCGCTGGATCTCGTTCAACCTGCTCACAGTATCAACATTAGGGAAGCAGCTATATCCAAACGGAGTGGGTTCTTGATGTGGATCCCGAGGTATGGCCCATCATGGCCACGGGTTACATCGAGGCATGCCAGCCTCTTCTCTGACGCCAGAGTTTTGATCCAGGTCCATACGCTTGGATCTGGAGTGGTTGGCGGCGGTATGGGTCCCCGTCGGACGAGACAGAACCCGCGTCCTCGAGGTCGGGCGAGATGGAGCCCGCGACCTTGAGCGAGACGGAAACCACGTCCTGAGGGTCAGGCAAGACAGAGCCCATACCTAAGGGGTCGGGTGAGATGGAGCCCACGGCCTCGAGGTCGGGCAAGACAGAGCCCGCGGCCTCGAGGTCAGGCGAGACGGAGCCCGTGGCCTTGGGCGAGACGGAACCCGCGTCCTTAGGGTCGGGCAAGACGAAGTCCGTGGCCTCGAGGTCGGGCAAGACGGAGCCCGCGGCCTTGGGGTCGGGCGAGACCTTTTAATACGTCTCGAGCCATCCGGGGAAGTCAGCGTGGGCGCTAACTTCCTTGCTTTGGGAATCGCTAATATCGATACTCGACAGTAGCCCCCTAGCTTGCGGAGGAGTAGAATACTCCTTTGGAGGCTTTTCTAGACGGGAGGACTCTGAAGGCCTTGGCTTTCTTTTTGTAGCCCGCGGCGTGTCCTGGTAGGACGGTGATTCCCTTTTGTCACGATCGGTCTTTTTGGGGTATGTAACCGTAGGATTCGGGAGGTCGGAAAGATTTTCCTTGATTCCGGTCCCCTAGGATCCAATCGGTCCGCCGTCGTACTGCGATGGCACGTTCTGTCTCCTTGCGAGTCTAACTTTCCTCGAGCCCCCGCTTGTAGCAGGGGTCCGGTCGAGGGTCGTGTCGGATACCAGAAAATGGGGTACCCCAAGCAAAGATCAAAAAACTGCTTAGACCCTAAAAACAGAACCAACGGAATAAACAAACGAGGTCTCGGCCGAAATCTCTGATTCGCCTGAGACCCCGTCGCCGAGCCCCAGCGGAAGCAAACGATTCTCCGACTCGCCCGAGACCGCCTCACCGAGGCCCCCTCGCCCGGGGCCTCAGAAGAAGTGCCGATTCTCCGATTCGCGCGAGGCCGGCTCGGGACCAGCCCCGTGACTGCCTCTTCGACCGAACTGCTCTGACCAAACGTCGCATCCAAGCGCCCAACCACTCCGACAGACGCACGATGGCACAGTACAGTGAAGTGACCGACTACACGCCAGTCGTGTCAACCTCCTGCCATCTGCGACGGCACAGAGCAGGGGTTACCGACCACTATGCTGCCTAACTCCTACACCAAAGACATCGCAACGTGGGGAGTCAGAACGGGTTCCTGTAGCCTCGGAATCAGTGGACCGACCGCTTCGTCTCGCCCGAGCCCCCTCGACGGGGCCTTGGATTCACTGATCTTTCTCCGCCTCGCCCGAGACCCCCCGGTAGGGCCTCGGATGAATTGGCCACGCTCCGCCTCGCCCGAGGCCGGGCTCATCCCGCAACCTCGTCGCCTCCGCCTCAAAGGTCTCTCTGGCAGGCTGTCGCATCCGATTAATGCGCTCAGCTGCACTCGCTATGTAAGCCATGATCGGCAGTGCGCTGCAACAGGAGCGACGGGACAACGGTCAGATCACCTTTTTTACCATCCTTACTGACAACACAGGTACCGTATCCTGTAGGCGCACGTCTCGCACTGTTCCGCCTGATGGCCGCCGAGACCCGCATCTGCACCTGGGTCACTTCTCAGGCCTCGGCACGGCAGACCTCGGCACAATAGGCCTCGGCACAACAGGCCTCGGCACGACCGGCTATGATGACCGTCGAGCTTCTACAATCCACCAAGCCAATAAATGCGCAGCATGTTACTTGCAGTGGAGACCATACCGATTAGACATCTACGGGAACTCCCACGACAACGCCATGCTGCTCCAGGAGTAAATACGTCATCGAATAGTCCGCTCCACGTGTAGCTCTCTTATGTACTCCTGGTTTCCTCCCTACGGCTATAAAAGGAGGCGGCCAGGACCGTTTCTAGGGACGGCGGATAGAGTCACGAATACTCGCACGAACAACACGCCTCATTCTGTAATTCATATCACCTCCCCTCATAGAGACCTGGGATGAGCTCCCTCTCTCTGGCCTAGCTTGTAACCCCCTACTACGAGCACCCCGGTGCAAGGAATACAAGAACATCTTCTTAGACTAGACGTAGGGCATCCATTGCCCGAACCAGTATAAACCTTGTGTCTCTTTGCATCACCATCCGGAATTGGGAGCACGCAGCACAAATTCACTAGTCGGTTAAGGATCCCCGGTTCTGAAACGCCAACAGTTGGCGCGCCAGGTAGGGGTCTCTGCATGTCAGCTTAGTCATCCCACCAGATTCTGGATGGCAGATCCCGTGCGATCGTTGCATCTCAGGACGATCGTCTGATTCGGGAGCCTAGAATTCATGTCTCTAGGGCACGAGTATGACATGGTACTCCTCTCACCCAGAGCG